GCTGTATATAGACCATATGTATCCACCAGTCAGTGAAAAGATGCTGGGTTTGCCAGCTCGTGGTTTAGCCTCAGACATGAACAGCTGATCTGGGTTCTTAAGAACAAACACTGGGCTTGGCCGCCGTGAGACMTTTAAGTCCTCAACCGCAAACTGAGCACATTCTGGATTAATAGAGTGCATGAATGTCACTAACCCATATGTTAGAGCTGGGCCAATAGGAGGGGGTGTTTTCATGAGAGAGGCTAAAAAGGAACCTACAATATGACCAGTGCTGATGTAGGGAACTCCGTTTAGGCCATGGCCTCTTTCTTGCTTCATTGGTGTTGCCCYACTGTCACCAAACCCAACATGGTGTGCAGAAATTGCTCCACTTTAATGGTAGAAAAAGCCTTTCTTTGCAGCAGTTCCTGCTGGAATAATATGGAGCGGGCTTTTCAACTGTTCATTTGCAGATAGAGGAACCTTGTGGGAGGTGCTCTAAAACCTTGAGTTTGTCAAAATAATGCTAGCAGGAAGGTCAGGGAGGGTGGGGAGTGTACCACTTTATCAGATACTAAGTGAATGCTTGAAAAGAGAACAAATTAACATTGAATTCYCAACTGGTCACGTCCTCCCAGACAAAACAAAAAAAGTGTCATAAAATAATTTGAATCAATGTTTTATTTGTCTGACAAAAAGTTTCTAATTCTGTTTATAAATGAGTGGAATTATTTTAAGCCAAACATTCATCATTCCACACTTGAGTAGCCTTGCATAATTTAATTAATTTTTCACAGTTGAGTGCCACTTTTGCAGTTTCTCTTACTTATGATTGTATCTTTGGAAAAAAGACTGGAGTTATGACTTTGTCAGCACCTCCAAAAATCTAGCCTAAATTAGAAACTGTGCCAGGCTCTACAATGTAACAAGAAATTGGCAGGTTTGAGTTCAACAGGATCTGTAAAAGAAAAGTCCGGCATTAACCGGGCAGACACTGATTAATGTTACACTTTTTTTTTTGACATTCCTCAGATGTCAGAGGTTTAGTTATCTCAGAAGCATCCAGGTCTGCCCAGAGGAAGTGACCTGGTCAGTCTACAGCTGAGATAACAGAGAAGAGCCAGAACAGCCACCAGCAGAGCTCCGGACAGCACGGTGGTCAGAACCACATGAAGCCCTTCTTCAGAGTATTCAGCTGGTCCAGGGGTGGAGGTTCAAACTGCTGCCAAATGGGGTAAAGGTGCCCACCACCACTCTGCTCCTCACTGAGCTGCAGCTGAAGCCTGAGGCAGCTCATACTGAATGTGTCACTCCAGCAGGTAGCTGCTCCAACACATGGATTAGACTCTTGTCATGATCAGAGTGGAYGGGTGAAGTGATGGGGGCTTAAACCTTCAAATAGCTCTGTCAGTAGCAGATTCTCATTCAGACTGAGGACACCAAACCCTGTGTCTGGTTTTAAATGGGCAACTTGTTTTGCCTCTCACACCATCCAACCTCCTGCATGCACAGAATAACTAAAACTCAACTGACTTTAGCTCACAGATGGAGGCAGAACTGCACTTTCTGCCAGCTCCTGTTAGGTGGAAAGAAGAATGATAAGGTTTTTTTTTTAATGAACTGCACTCCTAAATACACAAACAAAAGAATTTAAAATGATCTATATTCTAAAGACAAATTGTGACATTTAAAATATCCACGCACACAACCATGAAGCCGTTTTTAGGATGCATGATGCTTTAAAAAATGAGTAAGGAGATTAAAAATGTACAAAAGCACGTGTTGATTTCTACAGCCACAGCTATGTGTTGTAAAACAAGGACAACTAAAAGTTCATCCCAGTTGTACTTACTGCAGGAGGCTTCTGGTGGCAGAAATGACATCCAAATGCGCGCGTGGTGCGTTCAGTCCTCCTCACCTTGAAGCAATGCGCGTCCTTCCGGCTGCTTTCTGTCCTTTTTATAAGACCACGCTGACTTGTTCCGGACCGGCTTCAGAATGTGAGGATATCTGTCTGCATGCCACGAGGGAGAAAGCAAAAACTAAATCTCTAAATAAATAAATAAATAAATAAATAACGAACCCACGCTGCTGAGGAAGCAGATGGACCGACAGCTCCGCCTGCCTGACGCGCGGTCAGCTGCTGCAAAGAGATTTTATTATTATTATTATTATTATTATTTTAAGAAAATGTTTTTAGCAAGTATTCTACTTTTATCTATTTTTCTCAATTACCTCCCTTTTACTTAGTTCATCTTTACTACTAAATTAAAAGCCATGGCTTGCTTTTAAATTATCTTATCACTTTGTCCATTTATTTATGTCGATCTTATGTTGTGTATCTCCTTTTTAAAAAGCCATATACCGTTTATATTTATACACAAAAATGGCTAATTATATAATTTATTGGAGTACTTTTCTCGCTTTCCAGCTCCCTGTTGTTTTCCAGAAGCTCCAGTAGGTGCCGCTATAAAACATGTTTCTGTCAGATTACCATCAAGCAGCAAATTCCTCCTTTTTGACTCGTGTGTTGACTTTAAGTTTTTTTAATATCTCATTTTATTAGCTGGTACATACCGATTTTTCTGGATATGTGTATCTGAACCATCTTTTTGCCACTAAAGCATTACCCATTTAAATGTTTTAACATCAGAAATGCATTTTTTTTCTTTTTCTGTTAAGCATGTCAAAGCAATACCATTATTTTTATTAAATGGTTTCTTCTCTTTAAGCATTTTTAGAGTTCCTGATTAGAAAATTAATATTTAGCATTGAAAGTTAAAAAGCAAGTTAAGCTTTTACTGAGTGCACTGAAGCTTCTGCCTCTCTCACCTTAACAAGATTTATTTTCTATATTTTGTTTGTAATTTAGGATTCATTTATAGTTTATTAGAACATTAAATTGTTTAAAGCTACATAACACAGTAAGATGACAATGCACTGGATTTGGATTTGTTAACTTTGCAGTCATATACTGTACATTTTACAATATTGTGAAATAATTTGTAAATTGCGTTTGGGAAATAATAAAACATGAACAGCTTTATTTAAAATTATCAGCAAGACTGGTGGGATGGATCTGCTGAATTCTTGTTGCTCAAACTCATCAAAAGAAGATGTGATCTTACAGAACCAACACGAACAATACACCACGTTGTTTTGGTCAACAAGTTTTGTTCCATTTTCATTCTTATCTGTGTGACATCCCCTCCATTTGCTCAAAGTGTTTGTTTTCCAGGTATGGTGGGAGTGGTTTCCATYACATGCTTTGTAGGAACACCTGAGCCTATAGTGTTGTCTCCAGTGGACTGTGCGAGAGTCAGGGTAAGAAAGTCCGTCACAGGGACACAGAAACAACCCTCATGTTTGTTTTTTTCAACATCTTGATATAATTTCTAAGTTTGTTTGTTTTTTTCTGCTCTGTTATCTTCATCCTCTCTGACCTTGTGTTATCTGTTCCATTCCTTCTCAAATCTCCTGCAGCCATAATTTCCCTTTCAGGATCTGTACTTGTTGATTTTCTTGTTTTTAACTCCTAAATTCATGCAGGTCTCAGTTCAGCTTGCAATTTGTTTAGTTTTTTGTGGTTTCCCCCACTTCCGTGCTGCAGTTGTTTTTGTTAATTTAGTTCATCTGCCTTTCTTCTCCTTTACTCCTCATGACACACAGSCAGGGTCAACTCTGACACTTTTCCCTTTTTTCTCAGGATTTTCAAGTCGTGACAAGAGAGAAGGTTACTGGGGATGTTGCCAATTTCTGTTCTTCACCTTAGCTGCTTCACTTGAGAAATTAATTACCAAGCAGCCAGTTTAAAGAACAACCTCTCTCCTGGATTGCATCATCCATTTAATTATTTTAGAGAGCTAAGTGTTTCATTATTCTTAAAACACACTGAGTCGTATAAATAATGAGTACAACAAAGATCTCACCACCTGGATGTATGAGAAAGTAGGTTATAGTGCAAAATTTTACCAAAAGAAACAAACCAAAAACAATCTGAATTGTGGCTCATGAAGTCTTCACGGAGCAGAGGAGTAAAAAGTTTAGGAACACCCTGTTCCACAACAAGACCTGAACTAGTGAAAACAAGTTTTTATGCCTCATTAAAAAAATATGCTATGCAAGGACTGGCTTCCTAAATATGGTCAAGAATGAGCACTTTCCTCGTGTCAAGCATCATTTATAAACACTTCTTAAACTTCATGTGCTTTTTTATCAAAAACCAAAAAATATTTTAAACGTTTTGTTTTTGTGTCTCAAATTTGACATTTTTCTTGAGCTTCTTATGTTCAGTCTGCACTGCTGGGTCCAGCCTCTGCAAACCGGGGCAGCTAACGTTTGTTGTACATTTTAAAAATCAGATTACTTCTAAGCAGGATTTGGATTTTACAGTTATAAGATATGTTTTTGTGTTTATGAGGCAGATGATCAACAGTGGAAAAGTTGATTACGACTGCAGCTTCGCACCGTGAAGTTCACAGTTTCAACTCCCAGTTGGGCTTTTCCGTGTAGAGTTTACACGGCCTTCTTCCAGCTGCTCCAGTTTCTATGGACACTATTTAGACCCTTAACGAATGTTTGCTTGTTATAATCTGAAATTATACTATTTTTAACAGTTTCTGAAATTATGTCAAAACAGGCCATATTACAACAAAACAAACTAATTTATTTACCGTCACTGCACAAAACAAGAAGAGGACATTCTATGAAAAATGTTTAATGTGAAAATAAATCTAAAAATATGTTATTTGTCAAATAAACCTTTATTTACTTTGGTTTTCTAATTATCTCCTGAGAAATCATTTCTGTCATGAGTGATGTTTTTGAGGCCTGTGAGGTAGCTTCTTGACACTTCACAATAAAAAATAAGGATTGTCTCGTAGTTAAAACATTAGTGATTATTTTCTGTATATAAACCAGCAGACTGAGACATTTATTTTCTAAACATGATGTCCCAGTGGCTTTCAAACCCCAAAACACATTACGGCAAAGGCTGGTTCACCCCCAAAGATCCGGTGCCCCGGCACAAACAGAGCAATGTTGTATATGCTGTTAAGTGCCAGGAGGACTGYGACCAGTTATACATCGGGGAAACAAAGCAGCCACTGTTCAAAAGAATGTCCCAACACAGACGAGCTACATCTAATGGCCAGAACTCTGCAGTTTTCACTCATTTACAGGCCAGCGGTCACTCTTTCAGAGATGAGGATGTTCTCATTCTTGATAGAGAGGAACGTTGGTTTGAGAGAGGAGTAAAAGAAGMCATTTTTGTGAAGAAAGACCGTCCATCATTAAACAGAGGTGGAGGCCTCCGTTTTCAGTTGTCCCCCTCCTACAGTGCTGCTATTGCCAGTATCACTCCACCCCCTGTTAACAATARGTGTTAATTAGGTGTVAACGATAGCCATGTGATGTGAGTATCAGCCACATGGAGGCAGGGCTTAAAAGCCTGAATTTTGCCTGAAACTCTCAGACTGAAGAAGTCTCTTGGAAGAGAGACCAAACGTTTCATTAGAGAAGAACCCGTCCAGAAGACCTATACAGTTTTTTTCTTTTTGATAAACCAGCAGAGTTTACAATAAACTACATGGTTTCAAAAGTTTGAAAAAGATTTGCATTAAAGTTTCCATTAAGGGATTGAATTTTATCATAATTTATGCTAAATAAACAGTATTTTTACATCATTGTACCAGAAGTGTTTCTTCAAGTTTGTGCTAATCAAGTCATAAAATGAGAGCTTGGTGAAARCATATCAGTAGGTAAAAGTGTCAGGAGGAGATCAGAACAGAAGTAGAGCGACTGAGATAATAGCCACGATGCCTGAGAGGACTGGTTCTAACTCGACTGTTCCGCTACGAGTCGACACACAGTGGTCCAGGTTTTGGCCGATACAGGCGGCGTACGCCATTACATGGGGGATGTAGTTCTGCTCCTGGACCCCATGAAGCAGGTGAGCCATGGGGCCCTTGGCAAACACGGCCACATCGTCTCCTCCGTGAGTCTCTGAGGACATAGGTACAGCTGCCTGGGCCTGGTAGTTGTCTGCATCTGAAAGGAAAAGATAAAATAAAATAAAGATATAGTTTTCTGAATCCTTACATAGTTACTTAAAAAAACTATTGCAGTTAAAAGCATAGTATTCCCTGAAGGAATGCCATGGTGGTCATTTTGACTACAAAAGCTGAGACGTACATCTAAATATTCATTTAAATCTGTTCACTGGTTCAAAAATAACCAGACAAACAAAAAACATGATCAACCTACTTAATTAATTGATTTATTTTTTTGTTGTGAATGCAATGAAATAATAAAAATAATTGCTCACTGTAGTCAATAGTTGAAATATTCTCCCTCGTTCCATTGACAATTTTGTAACCAGGTCCGTTTCCATATAAAATGGACGTGAAAGGCTTCTGATCAATATCACTCAACGTGGGAGCCAAACCTGTAAATTAAGCATTTTGTTTCGAATTTCACCAGACCAGAACCAAAATAAAACCCTAAAATTCATACTATCATTCACTACAGGTACATATCATAGCATCTATGCAGTATCCATACCAAAAATTGACGTTCCTCTCCACGTGTAGCCTCCAAATGTAAAGACATGAGAATGGTCAGCAGTAACTACAGTCAGTGTGTCGTGGACGCTGGTCAGGAGATCAGCCCGACCGATGGCACGATCCATTTCCACAGCTTCATGCAGAGCCTTCTTGGCTTTACTCTCATGGTGTCCATGATCAATACGTCCTCCTGGACGGGATATTTTTATTAATTAGGCGTTACAAGCAAAGCCGTTCAATCACACCCGTTATTTGTATGGCACAGTATGAGGGCCAAAATTAAGACTATTGCGCAACCAGCGGTTGATACATCCTTGTAGCAGGAGGCTATATCGATCCCTAAGCCAGCTATTGATCTGATTAATCATAGGCCGGCACCGGAAACTGAGCAGCTGGCCCTGGTAACTAAGAGGCTGGCGCTGGCAAATGAGAATGAGACTATTCATTTGCGTTAGATGGAGAGGCTAGTGACTAGCATGGATAATGGCATTAGCATTGAAAAGGCTAGCAAATAGCATGGGTAACATGGCATTAGCATTGGAGAGGCTAGCGACTAGCATGCCTAGGCTGTTCAGTTACTTGAATAGAGAAAACTTTTTCAACAAAAGTGACTGACATACAAAACCTACTGTATAAGCGACATGCACTGACAGGGGTTCCTTAGACAAAATTTACTGTTCAAAATGACATCAAGCAAAAATATTAAACATAAAACATTTTACTGTGAAGCAGGCAGCTTTAGTTACCACCTGAATTAGCAGCTGTGTTTGCCCTTGCCTAATGGTCGACTGCTCTTTTTTTCCCTCTCTTTAGCTGATGTAAGGGTCACCTCGAGTGAAGAAACAAGATTTACTGCCTCGAAGCAGGCCTCAGACAGGCCTACTGAGAAGGCAGGAACTCTGTCACCAACTGAATTCTATTTAGGCCCTGACAGGTCATTTCAACCTAGAAGAGAATTTCTCAGTTCTCTTAATCAGATAATGGACAGAACAATCTTTTCTGTTCGTGATTCATTTGTTGTTTAACTAAGAATGTTTATGCATTTGTTAAATCATATAATGACTGTCACAAAGAAAGTGGAATYACTTCTACTCTTTTATYRTGCCTAAAAGATTAATTAATGGTATAAAAATCACAGAGAAAATCATTACCATGTTTTCATTGTGTTTTTATATAAATCACTGTTTTTATTTTACTGGAAACACAGTAATATAATTGTGAGTTTTTCTTGAGAAAATCTTTCATTCATCTGGACTAACAAAAGGTTCAGACTGATTATTTAAACAGAAATGTTAATTAATCATCATAAATGTTTTACAGTGATTTCTCTTAGAGTCTACCAGAAGAAAAGTTGAAAAGAAATGTTATCATATTCTGTTAAAAACAACCACAGAATTTAACCTTGGCTGGCGCCTGGCTGGCAAAGCTCTTATCTTTCTTCTTTTCCTGACTCATTCTAAGCCTAAGGGCAGAACCAAAGTCGTCCGCTTCTATTACTAACACGGACGCCTTTGAGTGACGGAACACTTCTTCCTGGATGCCGAACTGGGAAATAACACTGGGTTTCTCCCCGGAGAAGCCAGCCTGGGCCGTTAGGTCTTGCCCATAAGCCAATTAGGGGGATCTAACGGCCAGGACAGCGGCAGTTATGAAGGGGGTTGCTTAAGGTGAATTAAGCCTTTCTACACTGAATTATGAGAAAATAAAGAAGTAACAAGTTGTGGATTTTAGACAAAGTTTAGTTTATAGAGAAAGTTTAGTTTATAGAGGAAGTTTTCTTCATTCAAAACAGTTAGTGTCTAATATAAAGTAGGTGAGCAGCCTAGGCATGCTAGTCGCTAGCCTCGCCAATGCTAACACAAATGAATAGTCTCCTTCTCATTTGTCGGTGTCGGATTCTCAGTTACCGGTGCTGGCCTATCACACGTGTAGCAACTGCTGGTTGTGCAATAGTCTTTATTTTGGCCCTCATACTGCGCCATATATTTGTACACTTAAGCAGTGGTGGACAAAGTACTCAACTCTATTACTTGAGTAAAAGTAGTACTGATGCTCATGATCAAAACATAAGACATTTAAACTGATACAAAATATTTTTCGGTCCTAAAATCTCAAACATTGAGTTGAGATATGGCCAGGCTGCTCTGGTTTCTCCACTTGAGTTTCTTCATCCGTCTCCATTGCTGGGTTCTGTTTGAAATGAAGGTGAAGCTCAGCTCATTACCGTTATGATGTAATTCCAAATCTATCCCAGGTGTGAGCTATGACTGATTGGTTTCCCTTGTGAGGAACATAATGTGTGGCCAAATGCATTTCAAGAAAGGAAAACAGCAAAAGTGGATCACAAAGCTATACTGAGCCAAAAGTAACAAGTAACTAACAAGCTTCTAAGAAATGTAGTGGAGTAAAAAGTACAATATTTGTCTTTGAAATGTAATGGAGTGAACATCATAAGTTCTCCAAAGAATAATTACTCAAGTAAAGTAAAATTACTCAAAAAATGTACTTAAGTACAGCACTCCATTACTGTCCACCACTGCACTTAAGTATATTTAACCCTGCTCAAATTCTCACCTCCACTAACTCACTGACATAAGCTAGCACACTTGCCAGGTTTTTAGTAAAAGAAAACTGGTGAAAATTGTCCAAACTCTCTAAATCCTTGATGGGTTTGAGTGTCAAACAAGCTTACCTTCTACAAGCAGGTAAAATCCATTCTGGTTCTTCTTCAGGATCTTTATGGCTATTTCTACCATTTCTGTCAGGGAGGGATCGGTGTTTGTGTTTCTCTCCACCTCATAAATCAAATCCGAAGGTTCAAAAAGCCCTGGTACAATGGCGTCAATACAGCATATTAAACACAGGAAATATTTACCAACAAATATTCATTTCCACTTTAATGAGAGCTTCATAATGACACTGAAACTTACCCAGTAAGTAATCCACATTGTTTGGGTTCAAAGACAGCAGCTGCTCCTTGTTCCATACATAATAGCCTTTCTGGACACACAGAAAAAACTTGTGTCACTCCAGCTGCTTTAAACTTCAAAATATAAAGATGTAATTAGGTTGATGAAAGAAAGGCAAGAAAGCAAGAGGAGAAAAACAAAGAATTAGAAGGATGTACCTTGTCTTTGGTCCTGTCTATCCACTCCTGCACCAGGTTTCTCTTATCTTTCCGTGTGCCGTTGTTCCACGTTTGAGTAGGATATTCTACATCTGGTGTGTTTTGGGGGACCATATATTTTCTCCCTCCACCCATAACAACCTGGAGGGACAAATCAGACTACGTTTCAAGGCCATCTGTCAGAAGTTTGTAGAAATATTTCAGATGATTATAAACGCCCAATGATGCAAAGTTTGTGGGAGAAGATAAACTGCAAAGCATTTTTTTTTTTTTTTGAGGAAATGACAACGATGAACCAGTTATCAAGACACTTGCAGAAAGTCTGACTCACATTAATGTTGGGAATGTTTTCAATCAGCTGTCTGGCGATGTCCTTACAGCCGGCCTGCAGGGCTTCAGCTGGCATATCGCTGTCAGAGTACCAGTCTCTTTCCACACAGTGAGCGTAAGCAGCGCTTGGTGTTGCATGGTTGACCCGTGTTGTTGTCACGATTCCCACTGACTTTCCTGCAAAAACACAAAGCAGCTGTTTAAATTTGACTTAAAGTCTTGGTTTGAATTAGAGATCAGCAGTGGTTGGTTACAAACATTTTAGTGCAACCTTCATCATTTTTCTACTGAGCTTTAGTAATACCAAGCTAACTCATGCTAACAATGTTAGCTCATTCTGATTAATTAGCTCTACAACTGTTGTGTTTTCTGCATGGTCACCCAAGTGAAATACCTTTTATATTCACAGAGTAACAAATACTTCAAAAATCTTTTTTTTATTTATGAAGAGAACAGTCGTGAAGATGTTTTTCCCAAATGAACAGATCTGATCTGTCGAGAAAATGTGATTTAGTTATGTGGTTATAAACTTTATTCATTTCATAAAACAAAATTCTATGTACAATAAAAAAGAAAATACAAATAAAATGAAATGAAAGGTGGTAGAGAGAAAGAAAAAATCTTATGATATCTGCCCCTTTTTCTCAAATATAGATTTAAACTATAAGGATCTTCAAATAAAACAAAAACATTGAAACTTTCTAGAACAACAAAGTGAATGTCTTCATATTAAACCATTTCATATTTTTTAACAATCCAGTCTTTATCATTCTCTTAAATATGCATATTGATGTGGCACTTTTAACATTGTCTTCTAAATCATCCCACAGTCTCACACCTTGAATTGAGCTGCATCGTTCTTTCAAACAGGTTCTAAATTTAGGTTTCATGAACATCTCTATTCTGTTATTATAACAGCTTTCTCTCTTTGTAAAATGTATCTGAACATTTAAAGATAATCCATTTCGGTGTGCTTTGTGCCCTAACAAAATATTATTATCAATCAAATCATAGAATTTCATTAATTTTAGTTTACAAAAAATATATATTAGAGGGATAAAGGTGATTTTTTTCGAGTGATGACCCTTATAGACCTTTTTTTTGCAAAATAAAAACAGGATGTGTAATAGTCTTGCATGCTTTTCCCCATACCTCAACTCAATAGACCAAGTGTGGAACAATTAATGTTTTATATAACATATACAGAGCTTTATCAATGAACAAGTCCCTTACTTTGTAAAGCAATGCAATATTTGCTAGTTTTATTCTTAGATAATTTATATGAGGTTTCCATGTCAGTTTCTCATCAATAATAACACCCAAAAACCTCACCTCACTGACTCTACTCTATTTAATCAAGTATGTTTCACTACCAAATGACTTTTTTTAGCTTTAAAGTTAAAAGAGCTGAATCTGCAAATAAGGAAAAAGAAAAAGGTATTAGCAGAAACCTTTGAGTCACTGCTGCCATTCCCCTCTAAGTGGATTCCTCACATATACCATTTGAATAAAACTGGCCTCAAAATGTCCCATGTCATGTTTATTTAACGTCTCTTCACCTGCATCCTTGGCCCATCTGAGGATGGAGGTGACCTCGTTGCCCTTGGTGGTGTTGCACTGGGAGCGAACAGCAGCTGCGCTCACGCCCAGCGTGCCCTGGTTGGCTTTAACTCCACAGAGGAAAGCTGTGGCTGTTCCTGCACTGTCTGGCACCTGTGCATTAGTGTTGTACGTCTGCAGGGACACGAGACAGGAACACGTTAGGATTGTTTCTAATCGTTTGGAGAGTACTTTTGATTGCTTTGAAACTTTGAATCTGCTCCCCTTGCAAACAGCAACAAAGAAGATGGCCGCCGTCACCACAGACTGACAAAAGATCTGCAACTTCCTACAGCCAATGAAGGATCAGAGTTTTCTCAAATTATTTCTCCTTCCTGTAATCGGCATCAGCGATGCTCAGCCTGTTGTTCGGATGCACACCCAGGATGTTGATGGGCGTGGTATTCTTTGGCTGAAATCGACCTCTTTGGTCTTTATGAGTTTATTTGATGTTTATTAAATGTGTCCAATCAGAACAGTTACAAAATATACTGTTGGTTTGATGTGACAGACTAAACCATTGGTTATTTCGTTACATGACTTGTCAGGAAGCCTCTCATGTAATACAATAATTAGACCTTAGCCAAAGAGACAAAGGGGAACTTGTCCATCTCTAGCAGTGTCTCTTCTCCACTCTGTCCGTTCAGCTGACCCTTCAGTATTCGAGTCGCCGTCACAGTTGGGACGCCCATCCCTAAACACAAAAATCAGGTTGACTTTTAAGACTGATTTTTGTCTCAGTGGGGACAGAAAGAGCCCAACACCACAGTGCTAAACATTAAAGCTGTTCATTCTCTGTTTTATTGTTCCCTGTTTGCATCAAATCAACTTGTTTTCATTGGTATTTTGTGGTGCTGTTCAATTTCACTTCCCAATATTTAAAAACATTCCTGTCTTGTTGCCATAAATGAAGATGTAAAAGTAATTTCTAGGCTCACCGTCACCAAGAAAGAGGATGAGATTCTTTGCTGTGTTTTGGTTGAGAGTTTGGACCGACAGCGCGGTCTTCAGGGTCCGCTGAGCCATTGTGTTCCAAAACTTAGGATCTTTCTCTTGCTCTGGGTTATAAAGCAAGCAGATCTGGTTAGATTTTCACAGTTTCATAAAGGTGCAATTGAAGGTTTGTCTGAGTTTAAATGAGAGGATTTTTGTCAGCCAGAGTAACAACGCCGACTGTCAAAGTTTATTCAGTGATTCCTGTAAAGCAAATACGTTTTTGTCACAGATTCCCACACGTATTTATACTTAAATCTTTTTCAGGTGAAAAGGGAGATTTCAAGGCTGTGCTCAGAGTAGAAAAGTGGCATTCTCATCATCTGATAATCCTCCGAATAATTCCCCTAAAGCACAAAACTGCTTTTTAAAATCTCTTCTCCAGTTCTGTTAGCAACAATGCAACTACTTCAGAGGATCAAACAGAAAGGTTTTCAGCTTTTAGCAGAAGAAATTCTGAAACACAAAACTTAACTTGTCACTAAGTCAGAAAAATAGACTTTAAAAAGGTATTTAACTTTAACACAGTTTAAGTTAATCTGTAAGTAAAATAACAAAAAGCAATAAAAACAGTTRTGCTTCTGAACTTTGCGAATTGTTTATATGTAAATTAATGTGGCTGAAGTACAAATCCACCCAAGGAGCTCCAGGGATGAAGAGATAATTAATTGAAAGATGCACCCAKCTTGAACCACAGCAGGGCTAGTCAACTGGCGGCCCACGGGCCACTTCAGGCCTGCATGTGACTTCCATTCGGCCCGTCATTGAGCCTTTTTTTAACTTAATTTAATATAAAGATAGATGTCAAATCAYTTGTAAATTTAAAATTTAGGTTTCARTGCAACAAATGAAATTTTAAAAGTAAAAGACAATACTTGTTCTGTTACATGCTGCAGTGGGCTTCGAGCAACCCCGGCCCCCGGAGCGATTTAGTTGAATAGCCCCGAACTACAGCAATGCCTCTACACTGTAAAAAATGAAATRTTGGATTTACTTAACCWTGTTRTGTTACCTGGTTCCACTTAACTGAGTTGAGTAAATTCAAAGCAATATACCAGTTTTTTTTAGCCAAAGAACATGAGTATGTTGCTTTGAATTTACTCAACTCAGTTAATGGAACCAGGTAACATAACATGTTAAGTAAATCCAACATTTCATTTTTAGAGTGTACAGTTCAAATGTTAGAAGCTAGAAGTTGTTATTGGGAAAAAAATGTGCCAATTTCAGTGCAGCAAGATAAGTTGTTGTAATAATAATAAATTCCTGTTATTTTCTGAGGCGCCAACAAACTGAACTCAGCTGCAATAACATTCACTGTTTTTCCTCTAAAYAGGAAATGAAAATGGAAAAATTAAACTTCCTTGAAAGGTAAGAAGAATTCTTAATCTCTTRTTTGCGTCTGCTGTCAGGYWWWAAAARSCMWTTWARGRWKGGKKTTTTTTTTCTGCACAGTAACTCACCTGGGAATGCTGTCGTCCCCATGCTTCCTAAGATGAAACAGGMGCAARCGATGAGCAGRCCTGACACCTTCATGCTGTGGTCTGAGTGTGGCTGATGTCTARCTCTACAAAGCCATACGATGCTGTTTTGAGGAGCTGAGGGAGCCTGGCTGCAGTCGTGTCACAGCTGCAACAGAATAAAGACACAAACTAGTAATTAAATGTGTCATTTTGTCATTTAGTGACTGACGCACTTTTTAAATATCTATTTACATCCTGATGATTTGACTAAACACACATTAAGTTCAACGTGTCAAGCTGTTTTTCTTTCAGCTGCTCTCTTCTGCAGTGGAGCAGCCTGGAGACAAATGAAAGATTTGCCAATTGTTTTACTTAACCTGAGTTCTAACCCGCAACCTCAGGATTAAAGGCCACAGTACTGAGCTACCACAGTTGCAATAATTCAAATGAGTTTCTGCTTTGACAACCCTGATTTGCATGAATGACAGGCTTCTGCAGAACTTGATGACAGGCTAAAGAGCAAGAAAAACAACTAAAAGATGCASAATAGTGACCCTCCAGGAACAGGATTGGGCACCACAACTCCTTATTGAACAAGGCAATGTCAAACATTTATGCTGCGATGCATAAAGAAGTAATRACTTCTCTTGCTCGTGTTTGTCACATTCCACATAAAGAACAAGCATAATCTGGTGTCAATAAAAACAAGCTGCAAGGATTTTCAAGTCTCATAAACATAAAACATAGTAGACGTATCAAAGGTTTAAAGTGCCTGTGACATCAATTTTTTGTAATAAATATGAATGCATTTCTGGAAAGATGACATTGATAAAATATTGCAAAATTAATTTCACGCCACTGAGATGCACAGTTATTGAGATATTTGCGTGTGAAGTAACAGGAAGTGATGTCAAAGGGGAATGTCAGCGTGTGAAAAGAGAACTGAGCTTCCCCTTCTTGAAAGATCAGCATCYGCCACTGCTATAAAAGCTAACAACATAAACTGTAGAGAAGAATCTGATATTTATTTAGATTATTTGTAATCATTATCAGAGAGAGATGGAAAAAAATCTGTGTTGAAAAATAATATTGTTTCAATAAACAAAGGCCAGAGAGTTTTTTTAATAAGTCCCCTTTGATGTCACTTCCTGTTTCACTTCGTCTGAGCCAAATAACTAAAAAATTATTCTAGATATGTGACAAAATGGGTAAAATGATGTGTGTTTTGTCAAGTTTCTTAAATATAAAGATGTTTTTTGACTTTTTGCATTTGAAGGATAAGCATGTCACTTTAAGGAAATGTTCAAACAGATCATTGCATTCTTTTTATTTACATTTTATGTAAGTCAAAAAGTCTCTGAAACCTAAGAGGAATAAACGGGAGAGCATTGTAAATTAAAGCTTGGGGCCTCTCTGAACAGTAGTGTCATAACTTCTTATCATCAAGGTCATTGTAATGGGATTGAGCACCAGAGCAGTGAGAGGTTTAAGAGCCATAACAAAGCTGATTAAAACAAAACGATTGACTGCTCACAACTCATGGAAAAAAAACTATTTAAGATTTTTAATATGAAAAATCGTGAATGAATTTCTTACTTATGGTCTGACAAAAAAGTGCTTTGTATTCTGTCAAAAAAATGTGTRAAATCTATTTAAATGTTAATATCCTCCTCATTATAGATATGAGTAAAGAATGATATAATTTGATTATTTTTCCTCTCTGTTTAGCTTATATTACTGCCAGGATCCATCTGACTGATTCAGTAGAAGAAAATTCCAGCACCAACCAGGCAGACGCTGACGATAAATAACTGAGCTGTTTCCTTTGGGACGTTCCTCAGACGAAGCATGTCGGTGTAGTTATCTCAGAAACGTCCAGGTCCGCCCAGAGGAAGTGATCCGGCCAGTCTACAGGTGAAGTAGCAGAGAAGAGCCAGAACAGCCACCAGCAGAGCTCCGGACAGCACGGTGGTCAGAACCACATGAAGCCCTTCTTCAGACATGGTCTCACAAGCTGGTCCAGGGGGTCCAAACTGCTGCCAAATGGGGTAAAGGTGCCCACCACCACTCTGCTCCTCACYRAGCTGCAGCTGAAGCCTGAGGCAGCTCATACTGAATGTGTCACTCCAGCAGGTAGCTGCTCCAACACATGGATTAGACTCTTGTCATGATCAGAGTGGATGGGTGAAGTGATGGGGGCTTAAACCTTCAAATAGCTCTGTCAGTAGCAGATTCTCAATCAGACTGAGGACACCAAACCCTGTGTCTGGTTTTAAATGGGCAACTTGTTTTGCCTCTCACACCATCCAACCTCCTGCATGCACAGAATAACTAAAACTCAACTGACTTTAGCTCACAGATGGAGGCWGAACTGCACTTTCTGCCAGCTCCTGTTGGGTTTAGGTGGAAACAAGAATGATAAGKTTTTTTTTAATGAACTGCATTCCTAAATACAGAAACAAAAGAATTTTTAAAAATGTGCAAATGTAGTCTGACTGCATTTCATTCCTTGAAGGAAGTATCACCCACCGCCTTTTATGCACGAGTTTTAGACCAAGATCATTTTATGCTGAGTTGCAGACATTTTAATCAAATTTTGAAAAAATAAATTATGCGTGCTGCTTTAAAGCAATGTCTTGTGATCTGAAGTATATGTTGTGAATGACTGTCATAAACTACTACACCAAATAGTAGCTCAGTGGGTTGACTCCGGAAGTTAATCAGGTGCAGATGTCAACTTTACGATTAATTTCTAAAAGTTTCATCAAAACCCATTTAGTAATTCATGCAATATTTTGCTAACAGTACAGAGAAACGCACGCAGTGATACAAAAAAGGGTAACATTAAAATAGATATTTTGTTGTTTTTCACAACACATAATACAAAAAAAAGTGATTTTGGTGTGCAGTTTTTGGGGACAAGAAGAAGAAAATACAAAAAAAGCGAGTTATGTAACCT